AAAGTCTTGAGGTCGGTGGCATCGATGAGGTGACATACAGCAGACCAGTTCCTACCAGCACATCCGCTACCTGGGTGTTTTCCATCGTCTTATTTCTGGGTGTCAACCTTTTCTGTTTCTGCGTCATCCTTGCCTGTTACATCTCCATCTTCGTCAAAGTAAAAGTGGCAGCCAGAAGAGTGCGAAGCCACAATAAACGGGATGAGAGCGAGGTTCGTATGGCAGTCAAGATGGCGGCGATTGTCTTGACTGATTTCTTATGTTGGATCCCTGTCATTATCATGGGCATTCTCTTCCAAGCCGGTGTTGCCAAGAATAACCCAGAAATCTTTGTCTGGAGCGTTGTTTTCATTCTTCCAATCAATTCCTCCATCAATCCATATCTCTATACTTTCCTGGATATTTGCACGAAGAAACGAGAGCAGAAAGCATCACGCAGAACGAAGGTGGAAAGAAATGAAGTTGAAGCTACCCCCTCTAAGAAAACAACCTCTACAAGTGAATGAAGAAATGCGTGGAATCCATCCCAGAGCGCATCCCTGCCAGTTTGAGTATAATCATAAATACTAACGACGTGTAGTACACGTCTTAATTTAATCCCCGTTCATATAGGACCCATAATCAATTCCTCAAAACCATTTCAGCTCATTGGGGAGTATACAGCTCGGTGCTGCCATTTCAGGGAAAAGAAATGGCTATTCAACATCCCCCCATTAAATAAATACATTTCTGTCCTCACACGTAAATATTCATACTCCCTGGTGGAGACGAGGCAAGTGGGACTTGCCCAATTAAGGGCCCAACATGTAACAAACTGATGGATTTGAACCCCCGACCCTGTGTTCGAGAGTCACATACCCTAACCACTAGGCCACACATCGTTTCATGATTATGTACAGTGATTGTATCAGAAGGTGAAAAGCTTTTATATAGGACCGAAGCCAGAGAGGGTATGGTTTGGTTTGAAAAATTAAAACTCAAGGAAGTGTCCAAAAGTGTTATCTTAAATAATGTGAATATCATGAACAGTTAAAATGAAAATGCTTTGTAGAATGTAATTAGAAGCTTAATCTCGTTTGTTAGGGAGGGATTACAGAAATACATTCTCACTGGAGTAATCAATGGCTGAACAGTCACCTTTGTATATTCGGAGGCTACTTGATGGAAACATTTTTAAATGCTGTAGAATGTAAAATTTTGGTTCAAATTGCTGTATCATTTTGATTCTTAAGAACCTAGCATTCATTGCCTTATTATCAGAAGTAGTTTGAATTCCCTTCTTAGACTTTGTCCGAACGTATCCGACCCCCAGGAACTCTTGCCCCTATCTCTATAGGGGCAAGAGTTCCTGAGGGTCTGCGTGGTAGCCATCTTGCAGGGCAGTTCCTTTGTTCCATAGGGAGACCTCCTTTGTGCATACGCTGTGGAACAAAAGCACCAGTCTACAAGATGGCAGCCATGCAAGCACCATATAGTTCAGTGCATACATCGCAATGAATAGGTGTACATGTGTTGGATTGGTAGTCATATCAGATAAACACTGTCGTGTAAGAAAAAAATTGCTAGTGGGAGGCAACATTTAATGAAACCTTTGGTGCAAGTTCACTCAGGCGCGAACTATAGTTCGCTCAGCAGCCAGTTGCTTTCTAACAATGCGCGAGCGCAGTTCAGTTACACTCGAACGACCCTAATCGGTTTATTTTTAAAAATCTCATCGTTACTCACATTTCAGTGATGATTGAAATTTTGTACAATTATTTTCATGTTAATGATTCCCCTCGTAATAAGAAATGGAATCAGCTGTTGACAACCAGCGCTGCGACCATTCCGTGGGGCCTGGGCCCTGGAACCTGGTCCCAAATAGTCGCCTATAATAGTCCCAACCATTCATCGTTAGAGCGGTGTTAGTAGAAACTGTAATTAACTATAGTCGTCCCTCGAACTTGCCATTAAGGCTGTCCCCAATAAAATTGTATCCAAGTTTACTATCACATGTTTAAAGTATTACAGGCGACATGTTTCAACGTTTTTACTCAGTGCTGAAATAAAGATAATAAATGAAAATCTAAAAATCAAACTTGCATCTACGCAAAACGATATACGTATTTATGTATAGTTGAGATCTGATGCGTCAGTCCTTGTTATCGTTAAAATTATTAAAATCTTGTCAGACAGTTTGCTCTAAGACACCTGTCATTTACACAAATAATAGCATTGTAAATATCTGCATGTGCGTGTAATTAGTGTTCAAACATTGCATGGCATAGCTACGACATCAAGAAATTCATCTCCTTTTACGTGGAATTTCCTTGAGATCCTTTTGGCCTAGAGGCGTTGTAGGCAAAATTGGATTAAAGTCAAAACATTACATTATACATCTGTTAAGCACTGTAATTAACATTCTGATGGCGCCCTGTAATATGACTGAGAAGCAGACTCATTATCAATTGAATCTTGCACTGTAGCAAATAATAATCATCATTATCATCTTGCTTAGTGTGAGGCGGAAATAGCATGGAAATATCTCAGCGAAGAAGTTAATAATAAACTTGAGGTGTTATAACTGCAGCTTTTCCTTAGCTTTTCCAGTCTGTCAAGTGAGAACGGTGATAATTCACGTGATGACAAATTAGAAGGGACGATATTTGTCACTCAAACGTGTTCACTTCATACCTTGTTGGCCCAGTGTGAGCCTACGTAGAATAAGAAAGCAGTAGATCAGCAAGTCATTCGTCCTCTACACCAGGCAGTCACTATCTTAGTGCATACACGGAACTCAACGTGAATGGTTTCAACAATACTCGTAAGTCAACTCTCTATCTCTCTTGTTGTACTGAGATTAGGTCATTATAATTCCTCAGACATATTTTGGGAACCTTTCAGTTGATGCTTTTCAACAGTTTAAAAGGAAAATGATTTAAATCATTTCTAATTGTAACTGGTTCAAGAGAAAATATGATCATTATTTGTAATCTGAATGCAATGGTTCGGAGCTGAACTGAGCTTGTGAAATGAAAGAAAAAAAGAGGACAATTCCTGTAAGGCTGAACATAAACGGCATTGTGTCTCGGCTTGTGCAACATGGTATTCGACATGATGTCTTGATTCTACCTGCAATTGATCGGTAATTACTCCGATCCCGTTTGAAGTTGGTGTTGCAGTAGCCTAACTTTCACGGTGCCAATGCTAAACCTTTTGAATGCTGAAGATATGTCAGTCGAACGACCATGGTGGTATTTATTAAGTCTTATTACCAAATAAAATGATTCAAAAGTCAAGTTTCATTTTTCCTTTGTTTTCCCTGTTAAGTTGACGCACTGCAGTCATGTTGACGAGAAGACACCTTTCCTTGAAATTCTTTCTGTTCTTCGTATTGGCAAATCCATGTCTTGGTAAGTTGTTGGGTTCATGGAAATATTATATTAAACGACGTCAGAATTCAGCTTGGGTTTACTTGGCGTTAAGCAAGCTACAACTGTAGAGTTTCATTGGGGTTAATCTTCAATGGTAAATGAACAATTCTGCTGAGTATGGAATGCAATGGATCGCCATGATGAGTTTAGAAACTTGAACCTTTCACTGGAATAAAATCTTCAGCGAGCAATTCTTGAATTGAATGTCAAGGCCTGTATGCCTTTTAGAATCTTGTACACGTATCCACGTCGCGGAAATGTCAAAATGTTTCCGTAAATAAACGAGTTCGAGTTTGTAATCACAGCAGGCATATTTCCTGGTTTAAGTATTGGAGGAGTATTGAAAACACCCACAGAATGTCAGAGGTTGAAATAGATGACAACTTTAGGTACACAATGTCTTGGACTGAAATGAACCAAGTGTTAGACTGCTCAAAAAGGAATGTTGTTCTTTGCTTTTCTTCAAGGATATTCTTTTTTTTTGCTTTTATGTGGAAGCGTTTCTGAGCCAGCTTTGGAAATCGCATGACTTATTTTACCAACGTTATCAGACGAGCAGTAACATATGTAGATCTATTGCTTTCAAAGTATTTGCTTGCTTTATCATGGAGGGAGAATGTGTACAACTCTCCCCATCGTTGTCACTATCAACAGACTTACCCTTCCAGCTAATCTTTCCTCGATTAAATTACTATTTCTTCTGAGTTGAGTAAACGTTTGCTCATAGGGAATAAACAGAAGCGGAGGGTTGTTACAAGCCTGTTTTATTTGAAGCCAGAAGGAATTCTCCGTCTGAATCTTTAAAACGTCTTGAAGTTTAATTTCGCATTGGACATAGTAATTTAATAGACTAAACCATTCTGTCCACTTAGAGTTTGTTAATTGAAGTCTGTTTTAGGTGTTGTGCAAATTTTATTGTTCAATTTTTCTTACATCGTTCATTTTAATTGTACTCCGACTAAATAACTTGTAATTCTTGGAGAACCCCAATGGCCACCATTGGCAGTTTGTAACTTAGCAGGCATGCCCAATTTAAAGGGATGTAAGAAAT